GCCCGGCCAGGCGCCGCTGGGGGACGGTCATGGCCTTGGCTGTAGCGGCGGTGCTCGGCAGCACATGGTGGACTTTAAAGCAGGCAAGCACCGTGGATAAACAAAACGGAAAAATATTTATGTTGCCTATATAGCCAAAGGCCCAGCACTTCTTTCTGCCTCGGCAACTACTGCGAAATAAACACAATCCAAACTTTTAAAGCTGGAAGAATGCCATCATAAATCATGCGTGAATGTCCTAAAACATCCACTCAGCACCAGAGTTAATATTCAGACACGCCAGAAAAATGAATAGCACGCAGTGCCCTCACGGATCCATCAGCTTCTTTAGCGAAAACTAGTGTCTTCTGAGATAAAACAAGCTATAATGAACTTTTATCCGGTGTCATTAATGTGGGTGGCGAAGCACTGCGTGCACAAATGCAACATGAAGGCACGCTGTGTTGTGATAGAACCTGAAGCATGCACTGGTTTCCAACTGCTTGCTCTTCATTTGATAGACAGCTAATGTCCTCATTTGTAACGTATTTCCCTCGTAATGGAACTGTTGCATCCTCTCCCAGATGGGCAGGTCCTGTCAACACGTCGAACTTCATCCATATCCGAGCTGATAGGCTATTGATAATATTATTACAGTGTGCACCACTCACTGTACCTTACAATCACATTTTGCGACCGAACATCAGTTGACAAACAGCGTTAGAAGATATCACGTCCTGTGGCCGCTGCACTTTCTGGGTAAGTCCACCGAAAACGCCGAAGAGCGACGACTTGAACTTCAAACGCTGAGTTACAGGTTGCCGCCGTAAAGTTAAACGGCATGTTGATAGATATTGCAGTGCCAAAAAGTTGAGTAATATTTTTACAGCCAAAGAGTTGCGAAAAATAATCACTGAAGTTGTTAAAATCGGTACGCCATTCTATCTAATTATTAACCAAAGCAAACGGGCCCACTGCCTTACTTATTACTTGATAATAATACAGGGTGGGAAAACCAAAGCGACTTCTGTAACACACCCATCAATTTCTTTTCTACAGCCGGTCCTCTTTTTAACCTACCCCAAGAAAAAGCTCACCCCCGAGTTCAGTGCCTACGCTCCACTGTGAAAAGTTAGATACGATCCTCCTGAAAACACCGAGGGGGGAAATTAGTCGTTTATCAAAATCATCAACGAGTATTGGCGAAAAATGGGACAAAAAGAACGAAACAAAAAGTGGCCCATACTCCTCGAGATCATCATTTAAAGTTAACAAAGTGGAGAGAGACAGTACAGTTGTGACACAGTCCCAAAAGTCTACCTCCCCTGGGATCTCATTGACAGTCTCTACCTGCTCACTGCTCCGCTGCCTTCAAATGCTGTGGGAGATTTGAGGGGGGAACTTTCGCACCAGAACAACCAAACACTAAGTGCTGTAAGTGGGTGGGAGATTGTCACTTGTGTAGTCTATACTAAAAGTAATCTGCGTCAGTTAACTGTGTTGAAGGTGTTATACGTTATTTTAATACTACCTTCAGAAATACATGGCAGTTAATGTTATAAATAACATTCAAACTATTTCCAGTAAGATTAACTCGAATGATAATCAGCCATCCAAACTGTTTGTTAGAGGCACTAAAGCACTCTTACATGATGGAGAACAAAAGTTTAAAGAGCCCATGAGCTCTTGGGTACCTACCCCAGGGTGCTTCACTGGCCGGCTGATTGTAGGTTAGACCGAGTCAGGTAAAACAGAGTGCCTGTACAGGAACATTCTCAGACATGCAGTACCCTTTGGCCCCGTTTTTTTTTCTACACATCCTCTGGTCACAGTGCAGGCAGCAGGAGGTAAAATATCTACAAAACTGCGTGCAGTTGAAAGGCTCTGCTTTTAAAATGGCACTGGTGTATGTCAGGCAACCTCACATGAGCAGGCACAACTGCCTGGAGATTATGACCATTCAACGAAATCCTTAAACTATCACATAAGACTTTATATTGTTAGGGAAAAAAAGTCAAGAGTTTGCGTGACTTGTATAAACCAAGTCGTTTCTGCACAGAAGTACTAGAACATACGTAGACCTCATTTTTTGAGCTTTAGGTCACATCGAAGATGATAATTCGCCGTTGTACAATGAAGATAAGTAAGAAAACAAGGAAAAGGATGATATTGGCTCTTTAAGTACTAATCCATAAAGAAGTTCCCAGTGGCACATGAAGGCAGCATCGAAAGATGAGGGCGGAGCGGCAGCACGGTACCAGCAGCAGGTAACAGCAATGATCAAAATAAGTGACTGGCTCCCTCTAGTGGCCAAAACCCAACAGAATCAGCAGTCACCTTTTGTGCCCAGCTATAGTGCCAACAAGAAACAAACAAACAAACAAACAAAAACCCTTCAACTGCATTAAAGAAACTCTTCTCCATTTTTATGGCAAGACTTTTATACACATGCCTTTAAAAACGCATCAGTTACACATTTTAAAAATAAAAGTCACCATTTTGGTCACTGTCACAAAGCAAGCCATGTCATATGTTAAGCAATTATATTTACATATATTTTTAATATGTTCTACCCCAGTAGAGCAATTTGTTACAACTCGCTAAACAAACACTACCAGTGATGTTAAAATAAGAATAAAATGTACACAAAATGAGGAGGAGGCTAACTTTAGGCTGTAGGCTCCTACAGTCGATAAAATCATATTTGAAATTACAATTTTTGTAAAATTATCAAAAGTTCTGGATAATACTGTTAAAATGTAGACGTAACATATTACTTTACAATTTTTAAAAGTGATTCCAATTTTTAAAAGAAAAAACATGACTTGGAGTGTTAATGTACTGTATTTTCTAAAGTCACCAAAAATTAGCTGAACACTACTATGAAACTATCCAAAACTCTAAAACATTTAACTACTTTTTTTTCTAAGTGAAACTGAAATTAGAATAAAACAAACAAACATTCTCACACACAAAATTTAAGTGGAGAATGAAATCTGGTAATAGAGACAACATCCTGGAGTGCGTGAGGATTCCCTGTCACATGTCCATGAAATTAACATGTTGAGATCTAAAACAAGAAGTACAACTGTCAGTATGTTTGCTGCAAACCTACATTCAGTTTTTTAATTTACTTTCCTTACTCTGAATGTGCTGCATACATGTTCAGTAACGTCTTACCTGCAGACCTGGTGCAGCTCCCGGGCGTAGCCGCTGTTTTGAGCCTGACTGGGATCCATGTGAGTGTTACCAACCTCGACACTAACAACCTCAGTGTCCTTTGCCTCATCATTGGTAACCTTACCAGGGCACAGAGGAAACCACAGCAAATAATGTGCAAGCCTTCTACTAAGCTGTTACACATTCTCTATTAAATGCGCATATAAAGATACAATTCATGAATGTATGATTATGCAAAATACCTTGCCCAGTCATTCCTGATCAAATTTTGTGTCTTTATAAAAGATGACACTAAATGCCTTCACAAAATCAACACTGTGGAGGTTTACCTGAATTATGGCATCTTCAGGCATTTGCTCAGGTACTAAAATCACAGACTCCTCCTGTTGTCTACACGTGGCTCGATCAACACTGTCCGACACAGACATTGTAATAGATCCACCAAACAACTGGTTAGCTGTCGTGATGCTACTATTGGAGGACAGCATTACTGCAGGGCCTGGCTTCTCTGGAGTCACAGCTGTAACCCGGTAGTTACTGCTTGGAGTCTGCATCACTTCATCAGCAATCCGGAAAACGGTGTCCAAACTAACATCACATTTCTTCTGCTCCTGGTTTTCCTTTTTCTGTAAGTTCTGGTTGTGGTCCCCATGATAGAACATATAGCTGGCCTGAAACAGTGAAATAAAGCTGATGTTTTTTTATTTGCCAATCACAGATTTGTTGTGAAAAGAGTCACTAGTTACATTATTATGATTATCCTTATCCTCATCCTTACATGACAGACTAAATACACTCCAGTTCACCTACCTGATAAAGAGGTGGAGAGAACATCCCTATCTGAAGCCCATTAACTGCCATATGTGGCACCACAGTGTTTGAAGGGTAGTAGTGACAAACTTCAAGCAGAAGGACAGAAGAGAATATTTTGCATTACAAAATACAGAGTTTTGGCTTTGATCCTACTGGAGCTGAAACCTACATGAATTCATAATTTAAAAAAAGAATATTTACACATTTTACAGGTCCTTACTAACTGCATTTTACTAGTTTAACTTTAGTGTTATACTCATGTATAAGTGAAGTAATGTAACAACTTGTTCACTTATATTCCTCACCTGGGGAATAGTAGCCAGACTGATATTGTGCATTATGTGGATTAAAACTGGTGACATTTGGATGTGCATGTGTTCCACTGGCCAGTGGATCCTGCCGAATAGGCACATCATTGGACCGTGAGGCTATTCCAGTGCAGTGATGGCTTAATTCTCGTATCCCTTTGTCTGCAGTAAAGGCAGAAGGAGATGCCGCTGCAACCGGACCCCTTATCGGGTACCACAATGGGGCTGGGGTTCCACTGTGCACTGTTGTGGCCTGAGCTTTATTTGTATAGTAAGGATGAGGTGAATCCTGGTGCTGGGGAATAAGCAGTGAAGAACTGCCTGCAGAAATAAGGCATGGCAACAACCGTTTAGACAGCGATTAATACAATTTAATGCACTTAATTGTGGAATTGCAATTAAATGTTTGATTCAGTTGAAAAGCATTGATTGACAAATTGGGGTTTCAATTTTTTCAGTCATTGACTAGCTTGTTTTTCAAGTATTAGCTATTTATTCACTATTCCACTACAGGGAAACATATGTGACTATTACTATAGGTTTCCGCTATCTAAAGGTACTTCCCTACAGCCATGAGAAGACATGCAGTCACTTGCCTCTTTTTATATTTTTATTTCTGCCATCAACATCCACATAGAATCGATGGCAGCAATTTGGGGTTCGACCGTTCACTTTCAGACCAGCTTGTAGCTTGGCCTTAGTGCTGACCGTGAGTCTCCTCAGACTCGCAACAAGCTCAGGGTGGTTTCGCTTGAAGTTTGGGTTGTAAAAATGGTGGGAAGTCCCACTGTCCCTGGAGCAGAAACTGATGTCTTTAGAACTGGTTTCAGCTTTCCTGAAGCCATACAGATTGAGCTGACGGACAAAGCTGGAGAAGTTAGTGGTTTTGAAGACGTCAGGGTTGTCCGAGGCAGAGGTGCCATAGGGAGACAGGATTTGACTCTCGAAGAGCTGCTTGTCAATGATAATGACCTCACCCTGGCTGTCCCAGTGGATGGCTTTACTGTCCGGGTTGTTGACCAAACGCCACAGTTTGGCAGGGAAATTATTTGGGTTGATGCTGGCAGGGAGTGAACTTTCACCAATGTCCATGTTTCTGTCTGCAGAACTGGAAACACAGGTAACGTGTTAACGTTAATGCTAGTGAATACCACAGGCCACTGGTTCAGAAGTAATATGATCAGATTTCCATTATCAAACCTTCAGGTTGTGTTGTTCAAAACCTTTTAGTAGGAATGGGATAGCTTTCATCCAAAATATCCTGATCCCACCAGAGAGGAGGATTCAGGGTGGATTTCAGGAACAAAATGTAATAATAAGAAGAAAATACAATATGTCCATGCAGATTCTCAGTCATCCAGGTCACAGTAAGCTGGATAAAAAAAACTTTGGGGTTTTAGGTATAAGTTTAGACTCAGATTAGGTTTTCTCTGCTTTTGTGTTCCAGTGCAAGCAAAAGAAATAAACATGAGAATACCAAAGTATTTGTGATTGCAACAATTTTCTGGGAGAAGTGAGACATCTGACAGAACTGCAGGGGTGCCAGTATTTTTGGCCATAACTGTATAATATCATGGACATGGTTAACTTTAATTACTTTAATCTTCTCGTTGCATTCAAGTCACAAGATCTAAAAACGTTAAGTTATTCAGCTAGCATTAGCTAGCAGTACTTAAACGTTAAGGCAAGCTAGCTCACCAAAGAACTGCTCTATATTTGGGTTCTTCTAAGCAAGTAAACACGAGTTAAGGTTTCTTTGAAACCTTTCGATATTGCCTTGTATTATTTTGGGCATGCTATATTTAAAAAATGGTAACCGTACCTGGATCGCCAACGATGACGTGTGCTGTTCTCAAAGCCGTTGGAGCAAACGCCTGATCTGGCGCACATACACTGTGCAGCCAACTGTGGTCATGCCGTCGGACAAGAACACTTTTCAGTACCGGAAATTTAACGGTGTTTTACTTCTGAAATCTGAAAAGGGTTTTGCTTTTTTCAACAGCAGTAGCCTATATTATGAAACTGAAGTTAGGTTGAAGAACCATTAATAAAGGTTTGGAGCACTGTTAAGAGGTTTACACAAAAGTGAAAAGATCCAGATCATTACAAAGGCAGCAGTGCAGAGTATGTTAGCTAGAAGTAAATGTTAAATAATTTATAGATAGTAGGGAAGAGAAGCTACATACTTGTGTATCCAGGAGACATGGGTAAAACTTAGTTTCGATTTTGTTTTGCATAATATTAATAACAATAAAATATTAATAATTTATTTCTATAGCACAGTTCATACAATAGGTGTAACTGTTGTACAGCAAAATAAAAATAAAATAAGATGAGATAAAATAATACATTTCAACTGACAATTTCAAATGGGTTTATTTTAAAATCAATAGGTGTATAAGAAACAATTATTCTGTAATTAGGCAAGCCTAAAAAGAAAAGATTTAAGGTTACGTTTAAAGCACTCCACTGTATCTGAGGCCTTCACCTCACTTGGACGTTCATTCCAGAGTTGCAGGCCAATATGCACATGTGGGATATCATTCCAAGGGCTCTTGGGGGGTCCCTGGTGGCCCAAAGCCCTCAGGCTGGCTATGGTAAAATCAGGATGCCGCTGTAAGCCTATCTCACACAAGACAAACACACTGTAGTGAAGCTGAACTTTAGCAAAGGAAGCAGAAGCTAAAACCAGTTAGGAACAAACCACAACACTATTAAAAACTGTCACACACATGATGCTACAGACCTTATAATGAGGGCAGAATAGATTCTCAACAAACAAACACAAACCACATCAAATCAGTCTGTTAGTACAAATTTCAAAAACCAAAAGAAAAGTAATCATTAATTCCCTTTATTTCTGTTAAAAGGTGAATTTCTCACCAGTGACCATGATGAATAACACCAGATACTTTGACAACATCAGATTTGTAATCAGTGTAAAACCATGTCATTAAGTGAAACCTGTGGACCAACTGGCTTTAACCTCCACTACATCCCTGGTCAGCAGGATGAAGGTGCCCTCTTGCGTTGTGCATCAGGTTCAGATGTCACATGTTCACCTGCTGCGATGTTCACTGCAGGAAGACATGGAAACACTGAGCCTTTGGCAGCATCCGACAGCATCAGTACACAAAGACTGAAACATCTGGAATATCACACTGTGTCTATTTGGTCACAGGAGTCATAGCCTGGAGCACTGATGCTTCGTTCAGGTGGGAAAGGTGGGAGAGAAGAGTTTCCAGGTTACAAACATTCATATCGGCTTTCAGGTTGTTGACAGAACTTGGGGATGTGAGATTTAAGGTTGAAGGTTAGGGACTGTATTTATTATCAAACCCCCAGTCTGTTATATGACTCCTGTTTAGTTACTTTATCCACACAATCAGTTGATTTACATTTCAACCCAAATCTCAGCTGTGTAAAAGTCAATAACCACTGATTTCCTTATTGATTAGGGTCACGATGATCACAGTGTTATAATAGCTCAAACCCCCGTATACCACACACCTCATTGGTACATATAGTAGGGCAAATAAGTATTTGATACATTGTCGATTTTTCAAGTTTTCCCACTTACAAAGAACGGACAGATCTGTAATTTTCATCGTAGGTACACCTCAACTGTGAGAGACAAAACTACAAAAAAAATTCCAGAAAATCACATTGTTAGATTTTTAAATAATTTATTTCCATTTTGTTGCATGAAATAAGTATTTGATACAATAGAAAAATAGAACTTAATATTTGGTACCAAAACCTTTGTTTACAATTACAGAGGTCAGATGTTTCCTGTAGTTCTTGACCAGGTTTGCACACACTGCAGCAGGGATTTTGGCCCACTCCTCCATACAGGTCTTCTCCAGATCTTTCAGGTTTTGGGGCTGTTGCTGGGCAACACGGAGTTTCAGCTCCCTCCATAGGTTTTCTGTTGGGTTCAGGTCTGGAGACTGGCTAGGCCACTCCAGGACCTTGAAATGCTTCTTACGGAGCCACTCCTTAGTTGCCCTGGCTGTGTGTT